GGCAAGGCTAGCCTGCCCATCCTGCAGCAAGTGCATGCCAGTGAATGCTTCCCAGCTAATCAAGGATGTTTTCCAGTGAGCTCTGAGCCACGCACAGCTAATGTCTCACACCAGTGCCGTTTACCTCCGCAGCAAAATAAGCTGCTGATTATGCAGCAGTAGATTAAAGGGCTTTTAATAGCTTTATTGGGTACAAGATACACAAACTCAGCCAGCTAATTGTCTTCAAGGAAAGAAAAAGTGAAGGTAAATCTAAATGACCAAAGGAGAACTCAGCGCTTTATTTCCCTTTTTTACAACCTGCACAAGTTTGCAAATTACGCGGCCCTGGGTGCATTCGTGGAAATATTCGCAGCGACACAATGCAGGTTCATACCCTTGAAGAGACACATGCAACCCCCATGTCTCAGTCTTGCCCTCTCTCTTCTTGCGTTGCCGATGCTAATTTGTCCCTTGCTACTGATGGATTGTGTGGCTGGAGAGGTACTTTGTCACTCTGCGTCCTGCCTCCCGTCACGAGCAGCGAGCAGAGGGGCAATGAGGGTTGCATTGATTGTCTCCTTGCACCTCTTGGGAGAGCTGAGCAGCACAGGAGCCATCAAAAGTCCAGATCCTAGAGACACCAAGAGCCTGGGCTTCCTTTGGTGTGACAGGAGTGGAACCCGGTGGCCGGCTGGGCAGGCCGCCATCCTTGCAGCTCGGGGGGTTTCTGCTGCTGCCCATCGTCCCAACACCCAGCCTCCTTGTGTGCAACTGTCGTATTTGGCTTTTCTGACTTTCTGGATCCCAGCTGTGTGTTGAGGAAGGGGATGGGGATTATGATACTGGGGGGAATCACAGCAGTGGTCGCTGTGGGCTGTGCTGGTGCCCGTGCAAAGGGAACTTGGGCTTCCCTTTGCAGCCGGTGGCCCAGCAAAGGCAGCAGATCCTTCCTGTTTTGTTTTGGTTTTTTTTTTTTTTCTTTTTTTTCTTCAAAGTGGCTGCCTTCAGGAGGAAATGAAAGCGTGACCCTTCTGCCACTGGTACCCTTCCTCTGGGCTCCAGATTCCGGTCAGCTCTTTAGTCTTTTATGGATTTCCAGCCCTGCAGAGGGTGAAGCAGGTCTGCAGATCACCTGTCAGGTCTTCATCGTGGATCCTAAGGCCGCAGCTTAGGAACTGCTGCATTTAAGGGATTGTGATGAAAAAGAGTAGAGAAAGAGGTTATCGACTGCAGAACTTGGCCCTGGATCAGAGCCAATGCGCTTATGCAAGAGGAATAAGCAGGCAGATAAAATCCCGCAGGAAACAGAGCCCACAAACCCACAGCAGGATCTGAGCCGACTTCTTCGTCTTTCCTCCACTCTGAGGCTTCAGTTTCTGCTGGGTTCCCCTCCTGTCAACCTGCAGCAGGCTGCCGTCCCGGCAATGGTGGCACACAAATTGTACTGTATTTTCTTCCATTTATCCTCCAAGTGGGCCCCTTTACTCAGCAGTTGTCTTTAGCCACGCTACAGGCAGGACTTTGAACTTCTCAACTGTCCCAGTGCTCCCTGAAGACATCATGGTGCCCACAGGGCTGTGTGGGTGACCGTAACTGAAGCAAATGTCCCCTTGTGCTGGAACACCCTCAACATTGCTCCTGGCAGGTTTTGGCCCAGGTCAGCTCGCCTGGGCAGTTGACCCCAAGGGTGGGCATCATTCCCAACTGGCAATTTGGGCACAGACAAGGAGGGTGAAGACAGCTGAATGGGGTGGAGGTGGGCTGTCACATGCCTGTTGGCCCAGGGCCAGAGAGAAGCCCCCAGCAGAGCCGATTTCCTAGCACAGATATAGCTGGAGGGTCCCTGCTCTTCTCTGTGCAGTCCTGGGTGTTGTTTTCTGCATGATGCTTCTGCTGGGGCTCTCAGCGTGTCACGGTGGGTTATTGCCTTTACCCCCCCTGGAGAGCAAGGTCAGCTCAGTTTGGAGAGGCTCAGCCCTCAGCTCTGCACACAGCAAAAGCATTTCCCCATCTCCCTCAGCTGTGCCGCTGGCTAATGCATCTCATCCATCACCTGCTGAGGGATCTGAACCAGCACAAAGGGGATGCACAGCCCCAACAGACCGCCAGCACATCCCCTTTGCCTCTGTCACCACTGTCCCACACCACGCACATGGCCAAGACCCCGCGAAAGGCACAGGGTGAGAGGTGCAGGTCCTTACCCGGAGTAGCTCGGTGCAGCTCCACCAGCGTTTCTGAAGCATTGGCTGCTTCGTGGGTGTTCTCACCCGGCAGCAACAGGTGAGGGATGCGGATGGTGTCACCCTGCTGCAGGCAGGAGGGGACATGGCTCCCAGTTTGCTCCAGAGCCCCTGGCTTGCTGGTTAGCTTGGGATCACTTGGAACTGACAGGAAAGAGGCCCCAGCCTCCAGGGATCTGAGATGGGGGAAAAGCAAGACCAGGGGCATGAGGGGGGGCCTGCTGCCCATGGCAGCCTGTCACCGTTCAGAGATGTCATGCAGAGGCACGAAGCATTCGCTTGGTGAAAAACACCAGATCCTTGAGTTTACAGCGAAGGGCCAGAACCTCCCTCAGGACCTGGACTGGAAAGCTGGAATTAGGCACGTGTCAAGGCAAAGATGTGACGTCCTCAGGCAAGGGGACTTGTCCATCCCTTGGTGTCCTAGGTCAGGAGTGAGGGTCAAACCTTCCTGGATCTGTAAATCCCACCTTCAAGAATGATGCAACCATGTCTGTGCTGACCCGCTGCTCTGCCGCCGTCAGAGGCAGTGAGTTTGGCAAAGGGATGGGGAAGCCTCAAGCCACAGGGACACACCAGCGCCCACGCCATCCATGTTGCCACTGCTTTTGCCCAGATCCCACATCCCCAGGCTTCAGCACATGCCAATACAAGGGCTGGCAGGGAGCCCAGCTACTCTGGAGAGGGCCAGAAGGGCTTTCTACCTGCTCTCCTTGTGGTTCAGTGGTTGTCACGATGGGTCAGCGGCTGGCTGCCCTGAGCCACACGCTGCAGACCAGTTCCCGATAGCTCCCTCGGTTTCTGTTCCCCAGTCACCCTCTTCCTTTCGTTTTTCACGTTTTTCTTTTTGACAACAAATAGCCCTGAGAGGGACTTCCCAGCCCTCATGGAGGAAGAGGCAATAATCCCTTCCTGAAGGAAGTGGCCAGGATGCCTGAAGGACCCTTCTCACCCCTGTGTAAATGAAACCAAACAATGTCCCCAGGCAGGAAACGTTGGAGGCAGCAAGGGCAGAGGATGCTGTCAGGACCAGGGCTCCCGAGACCTTTGTGGGGGCAATGTAGCTGCTGCTGTTAGCTCGTTAACACGCTGGGAAGGGGGGCTGCCATGGGGAACCTGGCTGTTGGGGTTCCCTGGTGGTCCTGTCCAAGCACTGCTGAGCTCCGGAGCCCCAGGCTTGCCACAAAAGCAGGCGGCACGCTGCTCAATGGCCTAGAGTCCCGCTGAGGGACTCCAAGGAGTGCTTTGAGCGGGATGATTTACTACTCCTTGTTCTGCAGCTCTGTGCCGGGGATGGCTGCCATCCCTTCTAGCCACCCAGAGGTCTTTGCTTCAGGAAAAAAATCTGCCTCTTAAGAGACTGTCTTCTTCCCCCAGGTGAAGCTACCTACACGGTGGTCTGAGGGGGTCTGCAGGAAGACCTGCATTCAAGGTCTTTACCCTTGGCTGGTGCTGGGAGCTGCTGTTCCTGTGGCTGCTGGGGGGGGGCCCATCCACAGACCCTGTCCTCCACACAGGACAGACACAGCTGAGACGACACACTTCTCTCTCGACATTGTCTAATTGGCTTGATTTGTCCGTATTAAACATTTACCATCCACAGTTAGCTCCTTCATTAGCTATGACACATCATGTTTAACCACACGGCAATATTGCAGCAGTGCCAGAGCCAGCAGCAAACGCTCAGAAAACTTCTGCAACAAGGTTAATACAGAGACCATGAGAAAATCTGGGGCTGAATTCAAACAAATGTACACAAGCCTGGAAATGCATCTGAGCTGGCAGAAGATCTTAGACAAGTGTGTGCATCCACCTGCACAGCCTTCATCCCTGCCTCTTTTATTTATACCCAGCATAATGTCTTGCCTGTGGACCTGCGGGCTTGCAAGGAGGAATGAGCACACATTTGGCTTGCAAACCACAGCGTTAATTAATTCCCAGCAAAGCTTCTGGGTTTCACTTTGTGGCTGCTGAAGTTCAAGGTGATACCCAGGGTAACTAGATGCCTCTCCTGCATGCCCGGGTCACTCAGCCCCACCAGCACAGGGTGAAGGATGGGTCTTCCAGGACCGGAGAGAAACCAGGCAGGTGGGAAGGGAAAGCAATTTAAGAAATGACAGAAAAAAAAAACCCAAACCCAAGATGAGGAGCACACATGGGGTCTCTGCCGCCCCCAGCCCCACTCCTGAGCAGCATCAGACCCTTTGCCTCCAGGGCTTTGCCCTGAGGAAGGATTTCTCAGCCTCCTCTCCCAGGGATGACACGTAAATCCTCCAAAGGCTGTTTCGAAGGCAATGTTTGCCATCTAGTGGGAAAATAGGGTCTGGGCATCCCTCTTGCCTGCAGAAGGATGGGACTAGGGGTTGTTTTGGCAGAAGCTGGGGGCCACGTTCCCCCCTGCCCATAGCTGGGCAGCAGCTCCCAGGTCGAGTGGGGAGCTCGGGGCGGAGGGAAATTGGGAGAGGTGGTGCTGGCTCACCCTCATGCGGGCAGCTCACCGGGCTTTTTGCAGCCAGCCATGGATGCCTGCCTGAGTGTGGACCCCCACCCAAGTCCTTGGAGTGAACCCTTAGCTGACCTGGTGCCCAGCATAAGGGGCGAGCTAAAAGAAGTGCTGTGGAGTAGGAGAGAAAGCACCATGCTCTGGATAAATCATGCCTTCCAGGTCAGCATCCCCCTGGGCATTGGGGCATTCCAGGCTGGCATCCCCCTGGGTATCACTGCCTTCCAGATTAGCACCCTCTTGGGGATCTGTGCCTTCCATATTGGCACCCCCAGCGTTCCCCGGCAATCAGTGCCTTCCAGGTCAGCATCTTCCCGAGTATTGGTGCATTCCAGGTCAGTATCCTCCTGGTCATTGGTGCTTTCCAGGTCAGCATTCCCCTGGAGATCAGTGCCTTCCAGGTCAGCAGATCCTCCTGGGGATCAGACAGCATCCTCCAGGAGATCCCAGATGTAGACATGGATCTGGCACTTTTAGCACCTTACCACCTCCAGATCCATCAGCGCAGAGGTGAGTATGCCAGTGCCCAGCATGCATGTGGAGCTCAGCTGCTGCCGTATCTCCCACCGTGGAGCAAAGGCTGGGGGTTGCTTGTATGCTGGGAGGGCCCCATGTGTTGTAACCCTGCAAAGCCATATGAGACTCCCAGAGTCACATTTAACTCTGGCCCATCATGTTCAGGATGCAGAGAAAGGCCCTGCTGTACAGGGCTGTCTGTCTGCCCAGCGCCTGCTCCATGCAATCCTGGAAACCCAGGGAGCACTGGAGTCCCCCAGCTGCTTGAGGAGCTCCTGCGTAGGGCTGGGCCATGCTGTCCATAACCTCTCTTTGCTTGGTCTGCCCTTGCAGACAAAGCAGCTGATGTGGCAGTGGACAAAGGGGACCATGAGGTGCAGCTGGTGGGAGGAGAGCAGGCAGTGAGTGCTCCCCGTCCCTCTCCAGGGAAGCTCCCAAAGTGTGCCTTGCTCTGTTTCAGTCCCTGCAACTCTAGAGGCAGCTGGAGGAGAAGATGTAGTTTCTGCCATGGGGAAGGGAGGAGATAACCTCCTCTGAGCAAGTGACACGGCAGCTTTGAGGAGATATGGACCTCATGCTGCACAGCAGAGGAGATGTGTGCACAGGGGATATGCAGTGGGCACTTCTGTGAAAAGCAATATGACTGCATTTGTCCCCCAGTGCCACCACAATTCATGGCAGGCACATGAAACACTGGGATCTCTTGCTTGCACAACAGGACTATTTTCAGTGCAGAAGAAGCTGGCAGGAAAGTCCTGGGCTCAGTGAGCTCATCCAAACTGCTGCTGCTGCCTTGAGGATGGAGCAGCCATTTCCTCAGAGTATCACGAGCAGCAGTACTTACGTACAGCCAAGCTGCTGGCTTTAGCCTCCCAGCATCTCTGCAGCCACGTACTTGGTGTTTCCTGGCCATGAAAGACCACAAGCATCCTGGAGGCAGGGAAGGGGCCAGCCCCAGCAAGCAAAGAAAGAAACAACCCATTCCTGCAGGGAGAAGCCTACAGTGGAGCAGCAAGAAAAGATGTCTTGGGCCTCTACCCTCTCCACATCTGTTTGGGTGCCAGCACATATGTCCTGGCAGGTGATGTCTCCCCTTCTCTCTTTCAGGCAAGAGGGGATGATGGGCAAGGAGTTTGCAGGCCTGTGGCAGCTAGAAAAGGGAGGCAGATGAAGAAGAGGGAGTATGGGTGATCTCAGGGGTCTCCAGTGGGCTGGGTGCTTGTACCCTCTAGCAAGACCCCAGGCAGAGGTATCCCATGACCAGGTGAGATGAAAGCTATGGCCAGGGTGAATGCTCAGCACTGGGTTTTTAAAGCAATGTTTGGATTCACTGTGTCCCTGGAGCAGGGTCGCTGTCGCTCCTCCGATCTCAGTGACCCGACAGTGTGAGATGGAAGTGGCTCTTGAGGGGGAGGCAGTCCCCTGGAGACGCCCCATACTCTCCCCTGACACTTTGGGGACCTGCACTGGTAGCAATTTGGGCTCTGTCTCCTCGTGTCAGCTGTGGTGCCACTTCCATGGGGCTGGGTGCATGGGTCACACCTGGGACTAGTTTCCAAACAGGGTCCTTGCTCTGCCCATGGGCCTCTCTTTGCCAGCTTTACACATTTGGCCTCCCGGACATCTTCACAAGTCAGTACCTGCACAATGAGCATCTTTGATGTTTAGGATAGTATTTGGGTATCCAAACTGCCTATCCATCCACACATCCATCCATATATCCCTCCCTTCCTCCTTCTGTGAACCCATCCACGCATCGATCTATACATCTGCATGGCTCCTTCCCTCAATCCATGTATCCTTCCCTCCCCCACTGACGGTATACGTACCCCTTCCTTTCTCCCTCACCTCATGACATATATATGTTTCATGCCCCCACGGCTTCCACGATCTGCCAGAGCTGCTTTTACTTCATTCCTTGGCTCAGGACGTGGTGGAGAAGGAAGCAGGAGCAGCCATGAGAGGTAAGTTGAGATTGTTTTGCTTCAGAGCCCTTTGCAACCCGCCTCCTCCCCTGCAAAACGTGGGCTGGTCCTGGCAGTGAGGCAGGGGGAGGAGGAGGCTAGGCTTGAGGGCCAGACCAGATATTTGGCAGGGTCGGTGGCAGTCAAGCAGCCTAGGCACCGCTGCGCAACTGTCCACAACCCGTGCCCTGCTGCAAAGGCTTTTGCCCAGGCTATTCTTTCCCAAAGGGAACACAGCTGGGCAGCTGGTGCACCCCAGCCCCCTGCCCGAGGGATGCTCTGGATAGGGCCACCCTGTGCTGGATGGAGATGTAGACATGGACCTTGATGCTGGGGACCTTCCCTGGTGTGTAGCATTTGCCTGCTGGAAATGTTGTACCTCAGCAGGACACAGGACATGTTCTCTTGCACTTTTCTCCTGCTGGGCTTGGGTTGGTCCCTGCCCCATGCCAGGGAGCTGGACCCGTCCCTGCTTCCTGTGGCTGC